TACCAACCTGAGCAATATAAAGCTTGGGAGAGGCAAAAGAAAACTGGGCATCCATCATCATATTCTAGCTTTATGCGACACACACACACACACACACACACACATGTATATTAATGATTTGATCCACACAAGAAAAACACTAGTCTCTATTACAAGTGTAGCAACATTACCTCAAACCGTTTCTTATTGTCTAGCAGACGTTGCCTGCGAGCCTCTTCATAAATGTTGGTTTCATTGTTGTTGGCCATTGGATCCTAGAGTCCAGAAGGAGGATGTCAATATGCTTTTGTTAGAGATTTCCTGCAATACATGTCGGAATTTTTATTGATCCAAGATTACAAAGGTTATAATGGCCAAACAGAAACAGGAAAACAAGTGAAGTCCACTGTGCTTCTGGTATTTATGTTTGTAAATGCATTAACATCAGGCAGTGACATTATTACCAGATCATAGAAAACTAGCAAAACAAAACTCAAAAGACAAAGCAATTGTAAAAAATCTATTCTACCAATTAATCTGATATGAAGTATTATGATGCTAAATGATTTCTTGCTCAATCAATGAGATAGCAATACGCAACTGAAGTCTGGAACTCGGACTTGATGTTAGACTCTGATCACTCAGCAATGGACAGACAAATGCTAGAAATTTGCTAAAATTCGCAAGAAAACATCAATTCCAAGGTGATCCGAGGTGTAAATGCTCAAGCTGTGATGGATTTATGACAACTCCATCCTTCATTTAATGTGTAAAGGTCTAGAAACACTAATCCAAGATTGCTTACATTGTTTATTAGGATATATTAACATCATATTTACGGACAAATGTATGTGTTTTGAGCATAGGTAAGCTAGTATGTGTGCTTTGTTTGAATAGTGAAATCAAATGGCAAAAATCGTAGAGAATAGTGAAATCAGAGGTCGAACCTGAGAGACACGCTAAGCTAACACTTCTGCTGAATGAGAGAACCAACCTTGGAATGAAAAAGCCGATTGAGGACTGCTAAGGCTACCTCTTGGTAGTAGAAAGCCTTCGCTGCAGTCTCCGCACAGAGAGAGAGAGGGGGAGACGACCGGTTGAGGGGGAATGGGAAGAGAGAGTGCGCCCATTTTGAAATTTGAAATGTGGAGTGGCAGACAGCTTTGGAGTCCGTGCGTGCGTTCCCTGTACAATTAATATATCAAATCACAACCACTCGAATGCCCCTCTACTAACCTTTCTGTCAAAAAAAAACAAGAATTATAATGCAAAATACATATCATCCCTTAAATATCTACTAAATGGTGGTCGCAGGCTCTCAATCGTTGAACAAGTTTACTTTGCAAAGAATCATCATTCTACCTTGGCTCATCTCCAATTTTATTTTAGCATATTTGAGAACATTTTTTTTAATTATTTTTTATTGTTGAAGATTTATAAGTTTTAATGGATTGTCTTTTATTCAAAAAGAACTTTTAATTTGAGAAATTTAAAATACATTGAAGTGCTAACATGTACAAATCCCCTCCTCGAACACTAAACTCAAAAAATTCTCCTAATTTTACTTTATCCATTACAAATTTACCTTTGCCCTAATAAGAGCATCGTCAACTCACTCTTCATTTCTTCTCTTTTAGGTGTCGTTTGGTATCCAAATGATTATTATTATTTTTTTTTTTTGTTTTTTTTTTTGTAAAAATAAAAACAATAATGTATTTTTAAGAGTAATACTATTTAGACTTAAAAATCTGACATAATTTACTAACATAATAATGTAATTTCAGCAGAATCATTGGATCAACACCAAGTTTTAAAGTTTGATAAGCCCTACAGTCGATCTAAAGATCATAGTGAATTAGGTCAGCATAGGTCAGTAAATTAAGTCTCAATAGCATTGCTTGTGATTGTAATGTGTTTCTGTTTTTTTTAAGCCATATTATTTTGAAAATAAAGTCAAAAATCTGTAAACACCAAAAATGATGTTTTTGAAAACATCAAAAACTAAAAACACGCGTCATTTCCTAGTTAACAATAAATGAAGCCCAACCTTCGAATCTCATTAGCAACAAAATGAGATTTTTTTTTGTGCCAACTATAAAAACCAATTTTTTTCCTTCTTTTTTTCGTCACTTTCCCTCATTTCTCTCTCTCCTAAAACCAGTGACAAAGACGACAAGGCCGACTACGAAAAGGCCGATGACAAAATCAAACACGAAAATGAAATCAAAGACGAAGAAGAAAACATATATCGTCCCTCTCGCTCGTTTGTGTGTGTGTGTGTATGTGTGTTGTATATGTAGATCTGTGTGTCTATATATATCTTTTATTTGTGTGTGTACGTGTGTGTCTCAAGAAGAGGATAGTTTGCGTTATTGTGTATATCTTGTCGATAAGTGTCTATCAACAACAACATTTTCGTTGTTTTTTTTTATCACAAAGAACATCTACAATTGAGAGATATTTGGGATTAACATATTAATCAAAATAATATTAATAAAATATTACTCAAAATATATAATGTCAAACATGTTTTTTATTTTTGTTTTTATAATTTTTAAAATATAAAATGACTATTAAACATGTTTATATTTTTTATTTTTATCACAAAAAAAAAAACAAAAACTAGTTCTGTTTTTTTTATAAAAATAAAAACGTTACCAAACACACCCTTAATTATATTAGCTAGTCAAACACAAAAAACACTCTCCAATTTATTCTATATTTCTCATTTCACCAAAATGGTTATCCAAATGTGGAGAGTCATTTAATCTCTCTAAATTCTCTTTCTACTTTTTTCTCTCTATCTCTCTCTATATATTTGTTGTATTTTCTTTAAATTATTGAAAATTAATAAAAGTTGGGAACAACTCCAATGGAATTGCTAAAGGAGGCCTGTTAGCTATTTTAGATAGTCAATCCATAAATTTTTGCTCCAACGGGCTATCTATCTCATTTGGTATTACCCCATTCCCCAATATTGGCTTGTTGAATCTTGTGACCGATTGTGGCTAACTATTCCTCAATAGAAGTCATCATCTTCATCACCAAGCTCAGTCCACAGAAGGCTCTCTCAACAAAAGACATCGTCTTCATCACAGAAACTCCATCATCTCAACTTGGGAACTCTTCACAGTCGGTGGTTCTCAAATTCTTGATCACGAACTAAGGTTGGGTTGAGAAGATCAATAACTGAGGTAGTAAAATCCCCCAAAAAATTCAGCAAAACCTCTCAAAAATCCAACAAAATTCCTTATAAAATCTAGAGAAAACCATCAAAAAATCCAATAATGTGTAGCACTTTTAGGTTTTGAAATTGCTTGAGTTTTTCATTGAAAGCTTTGTTGCCCACTTGTGGACAACCAAACACAAAAGCGGAGATTGAAATGGGTGTTAAAATATAATTTTTAATTATATTATTAAAAGTTAATTAAAATTAGTTGAAATAGTAAGCTATAATAGATAGCGTAGTTGGAATGAATTTATAAAAGTGGATAGTTAAAATACATAATGTAATATTTAAATATATTTTGGATAGTCTCCGAGCGTTTCGTGGTTCAAAAATGCCAAATCTCGTCTTAATCATTATTTGTCAGGACTCTTCGGCGTATGTTCCTTGGCTTGGACAGGGCATTTGGTGCATGTCGCTATTCCTGGATCCAGAGGGGAGTACGTTTCGATGGAATAATTTCTTAGATATATTACTGCATCCCCAAGGGTTAGGCCTGCTTTTTACAAGTCAGTGGAATCTTTATACTCAAAATCCGGATTCAAGTAGTCATTTATTTGGTATCTCCCAAGGAACAGGAACTGCCATTCTAACCCTTCTCGGGGGATTCCATCCACAAACGCAAAGTTTATNAGATTCAAGTAGTCATTTATTTGGTATCTCCCAAGGAGCAGGAACTGCCATTCTAACCCTTCTCGGGGGATTCCATCCACAAACGCAAAGTTTATGGCTGACTGATATTGCTCATCATCATTTAGCTATTGCATTTATTTTTCTCATTGCTGGTCATATGTATAGAACTAATTTCGGGATTGGGCACAGTATGAAAGATCTTTNTTTGAGTCAGCTGTCATGTCATCATTTGGGCTCTAAATTTGGTCCCAAAATTTAGTTACTGTAACAATACTGTTTGTAATAATGGCTACCTAACCTAAAATAGAGAATATAATATTTAAATATATTTTGACTAACTATTTTGTAGATCTGAATTGAATATGCTCCAAGTTTGTTACCAATATAGGACAGTTACAAAAACAAAGGGAAGCGAAGAAATCTAATACCTCATAGATATCAGTCACTTCCCTTGATTTCTTCGCTTCCCTTAATAGGGTTTTTCATTGAAATCTAATACATTATGGAATATTGATGTGGATATGCAACAAGAAGCCCTGAACCGTAATACGACCAAAAGGCTCCAAACCAAGATCATACAAAGCCGGTGGTGCGACACTCTTGAAAGAGTTGCTAAACTCGAGTCTCATGAAGCAAAGAGTTCCTCTAGCCCTTCTTTTTCTTTTTAATCAGGCACCATGATGAATTTTGAAATACCTTCTACAATCTACAGAAATTTTTAAACAAGGTGAACCTGTCCATCACGAATAAACACTTTCAACAAATGAATTTCCAGGTTAGCTCAATGCTTTCCACTCAGCGTCCAAACGGATTGCTTTTGGTCAATGAAATAGTTCCTAAAACCACAAAAGCACAAACAAAATTCCATTTGTTCACCAATTCCTCTTTTTCTCCTCTTTTACCAACGATAAACTCGGCAACTGAGGGTCACCACCTTGCCATAGTGTGCCGAGATTTGATGGCCCTGAGCTTAGCAACCGCAGCAACAAGGTAAAAACACATTCCTATCACTGCAGCAAGACTACAGAAAAACATAACCCAAGACAAAGCAAACAAAGTCCATGGCAGAGCCACAAACTACAAGGCAAAAGAAGATGGAAGGGTGGTGGTGGCCTCAACTATTCATGGACCTTCCACGCTTCAACCACGCTANCCAAAGCAAACAAAGTCCATGGCAGAGCCACAAACTACAAGGCAAAAGAAGGTGGAAGGGTGGTGGTGGCCTCAACTATTCATGGACCTTCCACGCTTCAACCACGCTAAATTAAGCATGCAATTATTTTTACAAACTTTCTGGCTGAAAATTCATTAAAACACTCCACAGACCCACAAATGTTTCAAAACCCCAACTAGAAACCAAAAATAAAAGTTGCAGTAACTGATATCTGCCAATAGACAATAAAGTTGCCAAGTCTAAATAACTGCAGTTGCAGTCGATCACATAATTTCAGCTTATTTGCTGGTACAAGAAGAGAAAAATATAAAATCCCCAGCAGAATTGGAAAGTGCAACTTCACGGATGACTTCAGTATCTGTGCGCCAACTTCTCCTCTTTCTGGTATTGCTGGACATAGCTGCATGCATAAAGAAATGTGAACCACACATGAAAAAATATGGTTAGTACAAACCTCAATGGCAATTAACTAAGCTGAAAACAACAATATGCTAGTTTGTGCAAGTATTTTTGCTGCAACAGTGTTTGTGGGACCAAAACTTAACAGAGTCACCACAAACCAATCATATAACAAAGTATTCACTGTCCCCTACAAGACAACAAGAAAAAGGGGAAAAAAATTTCACGACCTTGTCAAGACCAGAAGTAAGACTCGGCAATCAAAATAGTACACATAGAAACAAATTGGAATTGGACTATTGGAGCCTAAATGTCCATAAACAAAACTGCAACACTGCATTGTCAAGTTTCTGACAAAAAAAAATGAACAAATTGCAATAGCCAAAAGATAAATGTTGAATCACAAGGAATGCCTCGAACTGATGAAATCCAGTTCAATATCCTTTTCCTACAAAAGAAAATATCATCCAAACATAAAACTTAATAGGAGTTATCACCAAAGAGAAAGAAACTTAACACATAAATACTATGACAAGCCAAAAAGGGGGGTAAGTTTGAAAAATGTGAGAATGTGGTTGATCCCAAACCCCCCCCCCCCCAAAAAAAAAAAAAAAAAAAAAAAAAAAAAAAAAAAAAAAAAAAANNAAAAAAAAAAAAAAAAACAAAACAAAACAAAAAATAAAATTAACCCAGGATAAATGTAGACCAAACTAGGTAATGATATTTTTTACACACACCATATTGTGCAAACAATGCCAACTGTTATCTGTACTCAGTCTATCCTCCCAAAATCCCCAAGTTAAATGGGGACCAAATTAGGTAATGATACTTTTACCCACACCCAAGCTAAAAGAAAAAGGAACTTTTTTTAGTTTGTGTAGCTGAATGCCCCTTAAAAACAATAACATATATTCTATAACACCTAAAATGGCTGCTGAAAACATAAAGGAAAGGGAAGTCAATAATAGCAAATTCACCTGATGCTGCAATCTAAGCTTGGAGTCTAGAGAACATGAAAAGAATCCCCTAAAAATAACCCTTCCATGCAACTGCAATATATAATGCAATGTGAGATTTGCTATGCACCTACATGTTTCATTCCCCAATACTGTCAATTTTTATAAAAGGATCAAATGACAATGTTGAAGCCAATACCCCTTACTATAGACAGAGTTCTTCCTCCCCTCATTCCTTCACCATTCTAGGAAACATGAATATCACACCTCTCTTCAACAAAATGTCTGACACTTTCCACTAATTATACAACAATAAGTTCATTTAAACCTCCTAAATCTCTATTGCAAAAAAATTCATTTTTTTTAACAGCACTGAATATTTGCTAAATCATGTACTTAGTTANTTACTTCATGAGGAGAGGCTGAAATGCAAATGAATACAAAATCACCCACACAATGCCGTGTAGACCAGAACTAGCCACCAAATTATACAACAATAAGTTCATTTAAACCTCCTAAATCTCTATTGCAAAAAAATTCATTTTTTTTAACAGCACTGAATATTTGCTAAATCATGTACTTAGTTAGTTAGAGATTTTAAACACATAATAGTACTTTGCTTAAATATGAAAGATGTGTACTGAAAGCAGATTTATCTAGGGACACATTCCCTTATTTCTTGTACTAAGCCGGATTTTGGGATAATGCATTTGAGGCTCAACGCAGATTGTCAGGTCCTTTATTCTCTGAACTGCACTCAGATATGATGATTTTCATTGTATTTCACACTAACCACCAACCACAAATTTTTCAAACCGACAAAAAAACAAAAAAAACCTCATATACGTGCAAATAGAAGATAAGAGACCTCTGGATCAAATCTGAGTTCAATTAGTTATAGTTCAATTTTTCAGTTAAAAATATCCCAATGGATAAATACTTCCAATAAATGTCCTCTTTTCACCCACACACTTAGCCATGGGGTCCAGAGCTACCAATACTCTGTGCACACAAATCCGATCTACATGTACAGCTAAAATCTTGATTGAATAGATTAGAACAAAGAAAGAAATCCAAATGAAATCGAGAGATAGGAGGCGATGAACTTACGTGTAGGTGCCAATGACAGGAGTAAGGAGGAGGGTGGCGCTGAGCCAGTTCTCGGAGACCTTGTGGTTGATCTTACCAACCAGATCTTTCCATAGACCAGGCATCACCTTCTGTTGGAACGGCGATAGTGCGTACACCACCGCCTTCATTCTCACCGGTTGTTTTCCCATCCCTGCTCGCTCGCGTTCGCCGGCCTGTGCTTCAATCGATACTTTTCCTGAATTAGGGTTAGATAGAGAGAAAATAACAAAAACTAAAATGTAATCTCTCTTCACAGGTTCATATAGGGGTGTTCACCCTACTCTACGGGTAAAAAATATAGTCTTCCGTGTTCCTACCCGATACTTTGCGGAAAAACTTTTTCTTGGCCTACCCTATCCGATCAAGTGTGGTATTCCTACCTGACTTCCTACCCGATTAATCAGGTAGGAAGTCAGATAGGGAGTCGGGTAAACACTTTTGTACCTATTAATTTTTGGATCATTTAAAATAAAATACAAGAAAGTATGAACATCAATCTATCATAATTGTTACATCAATCCGTCATAATTGTTTCACAAATATAATAACATCAATCCATCATAATTATTACACTTAACTTGCAAACCCAGTCAAGCCAGTATGTATGTTCTGACTCTTAAAAATATGTATGTTCTAAGGCCGTAACTCTTAAAAATTATGTTCTGACCACGTACATTATATATATATACTAGTTGATGCACACGTGCGTTGCACGTGAACCATTTGATTATGAAATATTAGATTTTTGTTGACGTAGATCACTTCTCCAAAATTCATAGTATTAATAAATATCGAATTGGTGAATGATTTAGATTCAACATGTGCTATGCCCAATAAAATATTAAACATGAAAATTTTCATATATGATAATTATAATCAATTTAATGACATATAGCTAAGAAAAAAAAGAGTTGATGCCACTTGTAAATTCTTGCATCAGATCTCTCAAACCTAATAATCGCTGACCATCATTAGAATTTCTTTTGAACATAAAGGATGGACACTATTTAAAAAATTTTAAATATAGTACAAATACATTTTAGAACCAAGTCACTACATAGTCTTTAAAAAAGCATGACATTCTTTAGCGAGTCAACATTTTGGCTTAAGGGAAATTCCTATGGAAGCAAAATATCAATAATTAAGTTCCAAAATAAATTAAATGTATACTTATGTGCTCCTCAAATTACTTATCTACATTCAATATTTAGTCAGTCTAATGTGTTGTTAGAGAATTTTATCTGCCTCCATGTGTCAACTTCATTTCTCAGTCAATTCTTCTTTGTTTAGTGGTTTCTTCCTCGCCTATAATCANCAATTACTTATCTACATTCAATATTTAGTCAGTCTAATGTGTTGTTAGAGAATTTTATCTGCCTCCATGTGTCCACTTCATTTCTCAGTCAATTCTTCTTTGTTTAGTGGTTTCTTCCTCGCCTATAATCAATCCACTATTAATGAATTAAAGAAAATAAACATTTTTTTTTGCAAGATATTATTGATCAAGTTTCAATAAATTCAAGGGAAACAAAAGATAATGAAATAGTATCCTAGAAAGTTAGTAGTGAAAATATTGGAAGGTGGGTAAATGGAACACAAAAAATATACCAAGCCTCCTCCCTATTGAGTTTAAATAAGTAAAATCAAATAAGACAATTCTACCCTCAAGCTACCTTTTTCATATAATCCTGTTTGGTTACATAAAAAGATTTTTTCAAAAGTTAAAATTCAAAAAATCATTCAAAATTGACTTATTTTTGTTTATTATACAAATGGAAGTAGGTCAATATATAATGTCAATCAACTATCCAGTTTGATTGAGAGTTATTTTCTGTTTGTGAATTTTGCTTGTTCACTATTTATGTATAACAATGAGATGGGTTGTGTCCAACTTTTATGGTCTAATTGGTATGAGGATAGAGTGTGAGAAAGAAAAAAAAAAGAGAGAAAAGAAAACATGAGGGATTGTTCCATGAGCATAAATGAATGGAAAGGAAGAGGGATTTCATATTTCATATTCATTCAATCTTTTTGATTCTATAATAAAGTTTGTAATGAAATAAAAAGAATAAGATATCTGGTTCTATTTTATATAGAACCAAAGGAAAACAAGGGAAATGCAACTTCCTCTTCCCCATAGAATAAGGAAAACTCTTTTTACTTACTGGGAAAAAAAAAGGGAAAACCCTTGTTCCTTGTTTACCTTTGTTAAAAGAATACATCTAACCAAATATGTAATAGATACGATGGTGAAATCAAACACAACCAAGTTTCAATCTCCCTCTTTTTTTATAAGTGCAATCAAATAAAGAAGAGAATACACCTCCATCTGGAATGCTTGATGTTCTTAATAAATAAATAAAACTCTTATTGCTCACTCTTAGTGTAAGTACCAACAGTTATTGACTTGATTTAAGGCCTTTTGTATCATAACCACTGAAAAAATTAGCTCAGATTAGTGTTCTACAATGGCTTTATATGTCACTTGCTCTATTAGCCAGGAAAAAATTCTTGAAGTTAGATAAAAAACTACTATTATTTGCCTTTTATAATAAATACCCGAGGATGATGGAAGAATGAAATTTTCATAGAACTAATTAGAGGACTTTTGTATCGTACCATCAAAAACTTCAGCTTGGATTTATGTTATAGTATTGCTATGTGTCACTCGCTTTACATTCAGTGTATGTTATTTGTATTGATGCAATGATAGTGAAAAAAGAGAGTGTCCTATTGAACAAATAGACAGTGGCACAACTCATGTCTTACTCATAATCATATCTTCCACATAATTTTATCTATAAATAATAGGGATATTTTAAAAATTAAGATTGTAAAGTGAAAAGGCATTGTCCTTCCATTTGCCTGAGACCACAATGGTTAGCATGATATTTAGTTTAGTGGACAATTCACTAATAGGAACCAGGAGAAAGAGATATAAAGTTTCCATAGAACCAAAAGCTTAAAAAAATTAAATTGAACTGGTGGCTTTGTTCTAAGCTAAGGGATTGAGTCTTGCAGATCCACTTTATTAGTTCAACAATGACAACATGAAGTTCCTAAATAATCAAACTAACGTAGTTTGAATTCTTGCAGTCCATCAGGTCATAAAAATTCATATATAGTCACGAACACTAAGTTTGTTCTCTCTCCATATTGTAAACTATAATAGATATTTCATTGATCCTTGATGCGCATATTAGGAAAAAAGGCTGAATGAAAAATTTGAATCTCAAGTGGAAATGAAGAATTCAAAAGCAAAATTATAAAAGCATGAAGGAAGCATGCTGACTAAGCAAATATCAGGCCTCATCTGCTCGAGAACAGTTGAGAATAGATAAAACTTGGTTTTAGACTCACAATGCAAATCCAACACACAATATCAATGCTAAAAAGTTCCCCATTATTAATCAGCTAATATATATACAAACACCACAATTGATGCATCCACAACAAATACCGAAAAAGAAGCCTATGCTGAACCAAAAGGACAACCAGCAGTAGGCATTTTGACAAGGAAGTTTAATCTGAGTACCAATCAGTAGTTCACCAGATAAATTCCATAACACACAAATCAAAAAAATTTAGCATGGTTAATCTTGTAGTGTTTGACAGTTAAGCAAATCAATTGAACAGATTATCAATTAAGGCTTTAACCTATATTTTTTCTTTAAAAAAACTGACATTTCACCTTTATCAACAAAATCTCTTCAATTACAAGAAGAAACAATTCTAGTATAGGAACCCCCAAACAAAAATGTAGAATTCATTTTAGAAAAGATATAACTTTGTGCGAAGATTAGAAGTTTGGCATACCTGACAATTTCCAGTTCGAAACTCGAAGAGGCTTAGCTCCAATAAAAAAAAAAAAACAATTGGAGGGGGTGGGGTGGACATGTATAGGCATTTTGCCTATCATCAGACATTTTCTAGACACTTCCATATACCTCAGTTTTTTTTTCCTAAAATAATAAATATTGCAATTGAACACAACCAGAACATTATGGCTATAACAGATCTGTAACAAATATATGGTTCAAGCAGAGAGAGAATTTTTACCTATTGACACAGCCTGTTGATATCGCTACACAAAGAGAACCTGTTAACAATAAGACCAGTGTGAGTGAGACTTTAAAGTTTAATTTCAGGTAACATAAATATACTACCTTGATACAAATTTCTTGATTTTTATTTAGAATCCCGAAACTTGTGTTCCATTGATCTGTATGAAGCAAATACCTTGCTGCCAAAAACTGTACAGCAATACAACAGCAAGCAAATGCATCAATAAGACAATCACTAATACACTTTTTTAAATAATAAAAAAGGGATTAGTACCCCAATCACCATTATTGAGTTGTCAAAAAAAAAATCAGCAAAAAAAACAAAATTATAAAATTATATTCCATTAAATATATTAATTAAGTATGCATCTATTTATATATACATAGAGAAGAGAGGTTTTTATCTATAATATATGGTACATACCACCCTTCTATGGCTGGATTACAACAATACTTCAATTCCAAGAAACCACATCTACCACCCTTCTATGCAACATTTCATCAAACATGAGCCGTGCATCATCCAAAGCACCACACTTCACATAAATAGAAATAATGGCATTACAAACAAACACATTACCACCAATCACATTAATACAAAGTAAACCCATAGACAGTAGAGGAGCAAGTGGACGCTAGGTGTTCGGAGAAAGAATGATGGGGGTGAAGGCGGTCCAGTGGTGGTGTTAGGATGTGGGTGGGTGGCATGTGGGTTGGTGGAATGAAGAGACCAAGGGAGAGAGAGAGAGAGAGAGAGAGACAGTTACGTGAGAGATATATCATGGGACTGAGAGAGATAGTAGCCTGTTGGAGAGTTTGTAATTATAATGAAAAAACCTATTGATACAAGGAGATATAACCAAAACCTGTGGCTAAGTTTGTGTGATTAAACCAATTTAGGGAGAAGTTATATATCTATAGAGTCGCTGAGAGAGCATTAAAGTGAAAGTGAGGGAGATGGGGAAGGTGGAAAGAGGGAAACTGGCCGGCTGTGTTTTTACTGACTATTAAATGGGGGGAAGGGGGAGAGAGAGAGAGTGACTGTTCTTTGCTGGGCAGTGAAAGCTCATGAGAGAGAGAGGAAATTGCTGTTAATAGCAGGAAAGGAACCAGTAGAGGCGATCAATAAGGTTTAATATGCAATTAATTTCGAAGGATAAGTATATCATATTTGCATTGTTGGAGGGTAAAGATGAAAAAACAAATGTTTTTCAATATGTTGATATTTTAAAGTAGTATAGATATATGATGAATTCTATCAAAAAGTGGATATATCCAGAAGACAAAAACCCTCCCCCCACCTTGCCCCCAAACCAAAATCAAACTCCTCTAAGACAAACCGCAAAAATGGGTCAATAAATCCAAGTGAATAAGACACAACAAAGACAAACATATATATACAAAAGCATAAATAAATGTGAAAACCAAATATGACTGCTCAAGAAGAGAATAAAAAGCCACAAGTACTAAGTAACGTATACAAATAAAAGGAATGAACATTGAAAATCTCACTAAAATCTTCATCTGAAGATTACCCAAATGGATATCCACGCACCATGAAGACCAATGACCCCCAAAGATTTGAACTTCGAACTCAGTAACCAATGAACCAACTCAGAGACTGAGGCTATAAAGAGCTAAACTTGAATCTTCAAAAGCTAGAAAATATGTATGACCAGATCGCAAAAATGGGACTGAACGATGACCAGATCAGATCGCAAACTCAGTAACCAATGGACCAACTCAGAGACTGAGGCTATAAAGAGCTAAACTTGAATCTACAAAAGCTAGAGAAATATGTATGACCAGATCGCAAAAATGGGACTGAACGATGACCAGATCAGATCGCAAACCTCGATCAGACCTCGAATGACCAGATCGCAAAAATGAAGGCAAAAATGAAGGCCTGCGATCAGCCCAGACCAGACCAGACCAGACCACACGCAGAGAGAGAGAGAGAGATAGGGGTGTTCACCCTACCCTACGGGTAGGAAATATGCTCTTCCGTCTTCCTACCCNCTGCGAACAGCCCAGCCCAGACCAGACCAGACCACACGCAGAGAGAGAGAGAGAGAGAGAGATAGGGGTGTTCACCCTACCCTACGGGTAGGACATATGCTCTTCCGTCTTCCTACCCGATACTTTGCGGAAGAATTTTTTCTTGGCTACCCTACATGATCAGGTGTGGTATTCCTACCCAATTAATCGGGTAGGAAGTCGGGTAAAAAGTCGGATAAACACTTTTATAGCTATTAATTTTTAGATCATTATAGCAATTTAATTAAATAACATGTTAAAGAGGAGAGGGGTGGGTGGGAGACACTTTTTAATGTCAAACTCGGAAGAAACACATGTTAAAGAATCTTAACATAATGGAGTTAGTTACTTTTTCTTTTTTGGGCCAGATGCAGATGTCTAGATAAAAAAAATACTCAATCAACGATGTTATATGAATAATGCAAATCTTTAATAAAAAGGAAGCTGACATCTCCAATGATACTTATGTAAAAACCATCGCCCTTCAACCTCCTTCACTCTCGCATTAGCTAAGAAGACTTAATGAAAGCAACAAATCTGGGTCTTTTGACTTCGCTCCCTCCCAAAATTGTCAAACATCAACTGCAATTTAACTGCAATTCTGCAAACAAGGATTGAACTAAAGCAACCATAAAAAAAAGGGAAACAATAACTCAAAAAGGCAGCAGAGTTTGCCTTCAGAGTCCAGCAATATTTCACAGATCTCCCAGCAATATTTCACAGATCTCGCTCATGTAATTCCTAGTTTGATCATTATTTTCAGCAATTAATTTACTGGTTTATGTAATTCCTAGTTTGATCTATTTGGTGATTTCGTTCAACATATGTAAAATTTAAACTACACCCATATGATTAACAAAGATCTCATGAATAACAAATCAAAAGAAAAACGATTTCATGGAATCAAACAAAAAAGGAAACTAGTAAAAGCAGATAAAAATCCATTGATCTGCAACATAGGAAAAAAGACCAGGCCATCGTGATCTGCAACATAAGAAAAAAACCGATTGATCTGCAACATAGGATCTCCTACTAAGATCAGACGACTCAGACCAGACGATTCGTGACTCAGCAAGGTTGCGCGGAGAGAGAGAGAGAGAGCACAGATTTGTTATTGTAGACGAATGACCAGATCGCGCACAGATCTGTTACAGTAGATGAAGGTCTGCGATCAGACCTTCCAAGCCAGACCACAACAGATCGCGTAGAAAGAGAGAGAGAGAGAGAGAGAGTACCTGGGTGGGAATCGGGACCGGGAGTCTGGAACGACGAAGGAGGAGCAATGGATTGAGGTGTGAGGCGTTGAAATAACTCAGTGGACGATTAGGGATTTTCTAGTTTATATATATATATATATATATATATATATATAAAATAGAACAAAATTTTAATAAATTGATCCTACGGTTTTCATTCATTAAAAGGCTTCAACATGTAAAGGCTCATAATACATTTCATTCAAATTCAAAAATTCATATATTTTCTCCCTAAATCTATCTCATTCAACTTAACATAATCCAACTATCACATCCAACCCAACTTAACCAAACTCAACCATCACATCTAACCCAACCAACCCAATCACGTCATCTGCGTCTACTTTCTCCGCAACTCTCTTTCCCTCTCTCTCTTACACCCAACAACATCACTAGTAGCAACGCCACTTCGTCAGCAATACCACCACCATCAACGTCTCTCTTCTTCGTCTTTGCAAACTCTCTATTCCCTCTCAATCTTCACTGGCCACCCCACCGACCTAGGTAAACTCTTCTCCCTTTCCCTCTCTTTTTCACCTCCTTTTCTACGCACGCACCCATAGTCACATACACAGTCGAACAAACACAAACACACCCCTACTCAGCCAAAACACCGAATCACAGTCACATACACACACATCATGGCACACCCAATATGTTAATCTAAGGTTTTGAATTGGGTGTTAATTTAGGGTTTTGAAATTGGGTGTTAATCCTCCCCAATTAAAGATTGATGGTGATTTTCTGTATTTTCTAGCGGATGTTGCAACTATAGCAGTTGGTGTGTATGAAATTTCAGTTGTTCATTTAGTACCAAATTCTGTTAAATTTAAATATGATTCTGTTATAATCATGGTCTTCGTTTCATACATTTTGGTCCATTATGTTTGATATGGTTATGTAAAGAATCGGAATATATTTTTTTTGCCTTATACAAAGACATATTTCTTTTTGCCTTTGATAGTTTTTTGGTCTTTTGTATGCTATAATTTAANGTCTTTTTTGCTTCGATATATTTTTTTTTCACTTTCATGGTGTGTTTTTCATCGTATTAAGTCTGATAAATGNGGAATATATTTTTTTTGCCTTATACAAAGACATATTTCTTTTTGCCTTTGATAGTTTTTTGGTCTTTTGTATGCTATAATTTAATTTATCACTTTTCAGGCTTTCTGGTATTGCATCATGCATTTTTCTTCAATCAAGAAAATGTGAAATAATTGAGTGCCTCTATCCCATTGCGATAAACAATGTCAATTGGGTCATTTGTATTTGCCCAAGGNTCTTTTATATCAACATTGTTTCTCTCATGGCGGCACTACTTTAAGTGCAAAATTAGCAATTTTTCTTGCTTTTTGCTGAGCAAACCTTCACCGTTCTCCTTCTCTCTATCTCTCTAGATTCCTCAACCCACAGCTGTCCCTAGCCAGGCAAGAAGGCATTTGGTTTGCAGGCATGAAGGTGTTTGGCCCTCCTCTACACAGGTATGCTAAGAACTTTAACCCAATAATTTCATTGTTAGGGTTTTGTTCTTACTTTTTGATAAACAATAAGAGTGGTAATTGGAAAATGGATGTTCACAGTTGGAAAGAATGTGCACACATTCTACCCCCGCCTCTTATCTGCCCTCTTCTACACACTCATCACCCATAATCAGCATGCCTTACACATACACGCCCTCCACTCTGTTAACCCCATCTCTGTACACTAACCCTTTCCTTCCCTTTCTCTCTTTCTCTCACACACAGNCGTTGAAATTTGTTTAATTTATGTAAGATCCATTTATAATTGTATGTATTGGGTATGTGTCATCATGTGTAACCTTGTTTAGCTTTTTTTTTTTCAAAAAAAAAACTTGTTTAGTTAGTTTATGTNACACACAGAGAACACGTGTTCTTTCTCCTCTATCTCTTTCACCCATTTCTCTCATCTCTCTGCAGCGATCAAGCAACTCCAGGCGACCCTCTCACCCTCCAAGGTTAGTCTACTTCTCTCCCCCTATTCTCTTTCTCTTCTCAGTTGTTCCTCCACAAAATACACCATACATCATGAACCACTCACACACCCAGCACACCCTCTCTCCCTAAACACTTTGTTTTCCTNGAACCCGTTAGGGTTAAACTCAAACATATGTTAACTCTTGTGTCAATTTCATATTAGATTAGAGAGTAATGTTTCAAGGACATTTTCAGTCACCATTTAATTTTTTAAAGAACTTCGTATTTTACCTGAAGAATATATGTGACCTATCTACTTTTATACCTTGAAATANAACCACTCACACACCCAGCACACCCTCTCTCCCTAAACACTTTGTT